TGGTCAGGGAAGGGCTGTCCAGCATGAATTCGAGCAGAAACCAGAAGGACAAGAAGGAGCAAACCATGAGAAGATCTGAAGAAAGCGTTTCAGATAGAGGGAAGACTAGATGTAAAGGTCCTGGAGTAAAAAGGCTTAGCAGATTAGAGCAGGGGGTCCATAAAGTTTTTGTAAAGAGCCAGATAGCAAATATTTTAGGCTTCGTAGGCCCTTTGTCTCTGTTACAACTATTCAACTCTGCTGTCATATGTTAAAGCAGCCAGAGACATTATATAAACAAACACGGCAAGGTTGTGTTATAATGAAACTTTGTCCTTATAAATCTTTTTTTAAAATTTTTTTTCGTGTTTATATATTTTTGAGAGAGAGAGACTGAGCGTGAGTGGGGGAGGGGCGGGGGGGGCGGGGAGGACGCAGAATCCGAAGCGGGCTCCAGGCTCTGAGCTGTCAGCACAGATCCCCATGCCAGGCTCGAACTTACAAACTGTGAAATCATGACCTGAGCCAAAGTTGGACACTTAGCTAACTGAGCCACCCAGGTGCCCCAAGCAAGAATTTTTTTTTTTCAATGTTTATTTATTTATTTGGAGAGAGAGAGCACGAGCAGAGAAGGGGCAGAGAGAGAAAATCCCAAGCAGGCTCCAGGCTGAGCGTGGAGCCCAATGCAGGGGTCAGTCTCACAACCTTGAGATCATGACCTGAGCTGAAATCAAGAGCTGGATGCTTAACTGACTGAGCCACCCAGGTGCCCCCAAAAGGCAAGAATTTTTTAAAATGAACATCTTGAGAACCATCTCCCTGCTTGCAAAATAGAATCTTACAGGTAATGTAAGAGTCTCCTCTAGCTTCTTACCATGCTAGACGTCTCCATGTTTCTGAATTTTTGTCTGTCTAAGTGAAAGTCTTATTAAGAGATATGATGGTATGGATATAGTAGAAAGGGAAAATTTGATGATATAAGGGAAATAACTTTCAGGTCAGAATTCTTGAGTAAGGTAAGAGGGAAAAGGATCCAGGTCTCTAGCTGAGAGGCCGGCCTCACCAGATGGGAGCAGGAGACACAAGCATTTCAACGGGGGGGTGGGGGTGGTGGTGCTGAGTGTTTGGATTCAGACACGGTCAAGTTAGTAGACTTCGTAGTGAAGTAGCAAGATGAGGAATTTCTCGTCTCCGGTTTTCAGTGAAATTAGAAAGGAGATCATCATTTGAAGAGTGAGGAAAAGGTGTGAACTTGTTTTCTTACAGAGTAGGGAGTGAACTGATTTCAGACAAGAAGGCTTTGTGGGGCGCCTGGGTGGCTCAGTTGGTTAAGTGTCCGGACTGGATTTTGGCTCAGGTCATGATCTCATGGTCTGTGAGTTTCAGGCCGGAGTCTGGCTCTGCTCTGGCAGCACGGAGCCTGCTGGGGATTCTCTCTGTCTCTCTGCCCCTCCCCTGCTCGTGTTCTCTCTCTCTCTCTCTCTCTCTCTCAAAATAAATAAGCTTAAAAAAATAAAGCTTTGCAGAGCAGTGCTGAGAGCCCACTTAAGATCATCACCTAATCTAAATTAATCCCCTAAGCAGGGTTGTGGATTTTTCTCCAGCCATTTGTTTAGTTAGTGAGTGCAAGCAAGCAGAGTAAGTAGAGTTGGAATTAACCAAGGGCTGGGATCTTACCAAGGAATACAACGGGAGGGGAAGGAGTGCCAGAGTCGCAGGTTGTGCAAAGGAGCCTGTAGAGGGACGAATGAAATGATTTAAGCTGGGTGATGTCAGAAATAAAAACAGAAAAGTGCTCATCAGTGAAAAGTTGATGGGGCCGATGGCTGAGATCCTACTTGCATTACGAATTGTTAGGGGCGCCTGGGTGGCTCAGTCAGTTGAGCATCCAACTTCAGCTCAGGTCATGATCTCACACTCCGTGAGTTCGATCCCCGCGTCAGGCTCTTTGCTGACAGCTCAGACCCTGGAACCATCTTCAGATTCTGTGTCTCCCTCTCTCTCTGCCCCTCCCCTGCTCATGCTCTGTCTCTCTCTGTCTCAAAAATAAATAAAAAAAAAAAAACATTAAAAAATTTATGGGGCGCCTGGATGGCTCAGTCGGTTGAGCATCCGACTTCAGCTCAGGTCATGATCTCACGGTTTGTGGGTTCGAGCCCCGCGTCGGGCTCTGTGCGGACAGCGTGGAGCCTGGAGCCTGTTTTGGATTCTGTGTCTCTCTCTCTCTCTCTCTCTGTTCCTCCCCTGCTCTCACTGTCTCTCTCTGTCTCAAAAATAAATAAAATTAAAAAAAAAAAAAAAAGAATGCAGAGGAGGTGATGGACAGTGTGAGATGCAAGAAAGAGGTTTTGGAAGGAATACGTCTATCGTTAATGGCCAGGCCTGGGGTGTCACCATGGGATTAAGTGACTGAGGTGGGTTGGAAAATAAAATGACTGGAAATGAGTAGACAAGGAACTGAGAGCCCAGCACATTGTTTCCAGGGATGACAGAGTGCCTAGGAATGATGATGGTAGGAGGGGTGTAACCAAGGGAGTGAATCAGGTTTTAAAATGTCCAGGGAATGAGGGGAAGTAAGCTAGGAGGTCAGCAGATGATTACAGTATCCTGATGGCATGTACCTCAAAGGATCCGAGTCTTGAGAAACTAGACGATGAGAAGTAGTTTGGAAGCGACACTGTGGAGCTTCGTTAAAAATTACAAATGAAATGCTAACCCGGGCCGTAGTACTTTGACGGGAGTGAGAAACTCTGACTCGAAAGTTCAGAAAGGGGCTCATGGAAAAAATGGCATTTACGGGGGACTTTGAAAGGTGAAATGAATTTTGAGAGAAATCGTTTTGGAAAGATATCGCCAGCCAGAGAAAATATTATTACGAAAGAAGAGGGAGTGAACACCGACTGTTCCGCCCATGACTGGTGTTTCCGCCTTCGGGCCTGTTGCCGTGTTGTTGACTGCGGTAGGGTGTCAGTAGGCCACTAGGTGGCAGTGCATATCCTTGAGGATGTACAGTCCTCCTTGGGACTGTGGGTTTTTGTGAAGGCTGGAAATGAAAATCTAGCCCCAGCACTGCCGAGGGGAGGCAAGTGATGTGTGGATTGGTGTATTTAGTAAGGCTTCAAAGTGTTGTCACGGTCTTAGCATTAAAGGGGCAAAGCCGTCAAGAGAGTAAACTTGAGAACATTTAGGCAAAAGATCAGGAAGAAGATGAAAGGAAGCGGTCTCCAGACAAAGGTATGATGTGTCAGAAGTAAAGGCCGCACTTTCTTATACCATATACACAAAAATAAACTCAGTGAATGAAAGAACTGAATGTGGAAACTGAAGCCATAAAAACTTCTAGAGGAGAGCATAAGCAGTCATGTCTTTGACATCAGTCAGCCTTAGCAACATTTTCCTAGATCCGTCTCCTCCGGCAAGGGGAACCAAAGCAAAAATAAACTCTCGGGACTACACCAAAACAAAAAGATTTTCACAGAGAAGAAAATCACCAACAAAACGAGAAGGCAACCTACTGACTGGGAGAGGATGTTTGCAAATGGAGATGTGGTGCCTATATGCGATGAAATAGTACTCTGCCCTAAGAAAGATCTTGCCATTTGCGAAAACACGGATGGACCTAGTGGGTATTATGCTAAGTGAAATAAGTCAGACAGAGACAAACAAATGCCATATGATTTCACTTCTACGTGGAACCTAAAACACAAATGAACACACAAACAAAGTGGAAGTGGACACACAGCGACAGAGAACCCACTTCCGGTTGCCAGAGGGAGGAGAGCACGAGGATGGGCAAAACGGGTGAGGGAGAGTGGGAGGGACAGGCTTCCAGTGATGGAATGAATCCATCATGGGGATGAAAGGCACAGCTTGGGGAATAGAGTCAACGGTATGATAACAGTGTCATACGGTGACAGATGAACTTCACTTCCTGTGGTGAGTGTAGCTTGTCATTCAGACTTGTGGAATCACTTTGTTGTATACCTGAAACTAATGTAACACTGTGTGTCAACTCTACTTAAAAAAAAAAAAAAAAAAGAAGTAAAGTCCCAAAGAAGGAAGCACAGAGAAGGGAAGAGACTTGCGGACCTGTGGTAACAGGGCGGGAAGTGGGTACCAGAGCAATACTGAAAGACAGAAGCAGTGGTCTCCTCCTCCTCCTCCTCCTCATTTTTTTTTTTTTTTTTTTTTTTTCTTTAACGGTTTATGGGTGGATAGTTTTGGAAACAAAGAATCGGAAACAGGCTCCAGGCTCTGAGCCATCAGCCCAGAGCCCTACGCGGGGCTCTGACCTGAGCTGAAGTCAGACGCTTAACTGACTGCGCCACCCAGGCGCCCCCTTCTTACACATTTTTAAGTTAACAGCTAAGAAAAATTTTCTATGTTTAAATAGCTTTCGGGGATTAATTTTTCTGCTGTCTAGTATATGAAATACGTGCTTTCAGGGCCAATGCTGGACTTTCCAGTGCCTTTGTGCAAATTTGGAAATGAATTCCCTGGGGAAAAAAAAAGAATGGGCAGATTTTCTAGGGATGGGGCCCTGTGCAAAGAAAAAAGGCGCATCCCCTGTTGGCCAAGGAGCAGGGCCTGGCCAGCGGGATGCAGACTATATTTCAGCCTCTACTTACCCCAGGAAACTGCACAACTAGGTTTCACCCTCCACCTGCCGCTCAGCCACACAGCTATCCACACGGCCTTGTAGATTTTTTTGGCGTATAAAAACCTTTGCAGAAATACAGACTAAATGGAAAAGCCAGGAAGCCCATTCACGCTTACGTTCTGTCAGAAAAAGTCTTAAGTTGTTTCATTTCAAATAAAAATGCTAATTTATATCCCTGTGTCAACCATCATACTTAGTTCTAAGACAGACAGATGCTGTGGAACTTTGCTTCGGGTTTCTTTGCCAGTTGCTGCTTCTAAAACGTTAGCACACTTACGACTCACTTGGAAGAGTCACTTGTTAATACAAATTTCGTGGTCCCACCCTACTGGCATTCTGAGACTCGGCAGGTCTAGGGAGGAGCTGGACATTTGCTTGTCTACCAAGCTCCCAGGAGATGCCCATGTGGTCCCTCCATGGATGATCACACTTTGAATAACACTGGATGAAATAAGGCATTGGCTGCTTTAATATTTCCCGTCAGTGCCATAATGACTGTCAGAGTGCTGTCCCTGAGGAGCGATGTGCTCTCAGATTTTGCCTGTTGCACCACTGTAAAAATTTAAGCTAGGTTAGAGATGAGCTTTTCTCTTGCCGAGTAGGTGAAAGTAGTGACAAGTGGGAAAGAAAAAAGAGCAAACCTTTTTTTTTTTTAAGTTTATGTATTTATTTTGAGAGGGAGAGACAGAGAGAGCCTGTGTGTGAGCAGGGGAGGGGCATAAAGAGAGGGAGAGACAGAATACAAAGCAGGCTCCATGCTGTCAGCATAGAGCCCAACTCGAGGCTCGAACCCATGAACCATGAGCTCATGACCCGAGCCGAAGTCAAATGCTTAACAGGCTGAGCCACCCAGGTCCACCAAACTAGGCACACATTCTTAAGAAAAGCAGTCTTATGAAAGAAAACACATGAAAGTTGGAGATCAGGAAAATTATTTCATTGAAAATGGGTTGGAAGGGCTAAGTGAAATAAGCCATACAGAGAAAGACACATACCATATGTTTTCACTCATGTGGATCCTGAGAAACTTAACAGAAACCCATGGGGGAGGGGAAGGGGAAAAAAGAGGTTAGAGTGGGAGAGAGCCAAAGCATAAGAGACTGTTGAGAACTGAGAACAAACTGAGGGTTGATGGGGGGTGGGAGGGAGGGGAGGGTGGGTGATGGGTATTGAGGAGGGCACCTTTTGGGATGAGCACTGGGTGTTGTATGGAAACCAGTTTGACAATAAATTTCATATATTGGAAAGAAAATGGGTTGGGAGGGAAGGAAGGGGTGAGTAGGTCCTGCGTAGGGGATTTTTGAGGCAGTGAAACCATGCTGTATGATACAAAGGGGAGCTACAAGTCATCATACATTTGTCCAAACACCAAGAGTAAACCCTAATGTAAACTGTGGACGTTGACTGATAATGATGTGCCACCATAGGTTCATCAACTGTAACAAATGTAACATTCTGGGGAGGGATGTTGGTAATGGATCTTGAAACAAACAAACCAAAAAACAATAGGGGCGCCTGGGTGGCTCAGTCGGTTAAGCGTCCTCGGACTTCGGCTCAGGTCACGATCTCATGGTTCTTGGATTCAGCCCCTCATCAGGCTCTGTGCTAACAACTGAAACCTGCTTCCTGAAACCGGTTTCGTATCCTGTGTCTCCTTTGCTCTCTGCCCCTCCCCCACTCGCGCTCTGCCTCTCTCTCTCTCTCAAAAATAAATAAACATTAAAAAAGAAAATTAAAAAAAACCAAACCAAAAGCCCTGTCATCAGAAAATAAATAAGCACTGCAATTGACATAACTGTCTTAAAAGGGTGTAACCCATGTTGGGTTGCCTAATGTCCAGAGTGGGAGTTAAGGGGTTACCCAAGGAAGTGATGAAGTCATTTTACTGAGCAAATGACACTCTTTGATTTCCAACGCTACAAACAAAGAGAAAGGCCCCTGAGGAAAGTCCACCTGTGGGATGAACTGTCTACTGACCTCTGGCAAGGAACCTTCACTTCCGGGGCTTTGTGGCCCTCAGCACCAACAGCTCAGAACTTTACGATTTCCAAAGCACTTTAATATAGGTTATTTAATCCTCTCAATAACTCAATGCCTAGCTCTGATGCTACAGAACTAATCCATAAAGCCCAAATCAGCCAAGGTATACAGGTTTGTAATAGGCCCTTTCACTTTATACAATAAATTCTTTCAAACATCTGAAGCTGCAAAGTATAAAACGAATTCTTTGTCATAATGGAAGCTATTGTATGCTTAAAACATAACGATTTATGACTTTTTCGATATCCACTAGCAGATTTTCTTTTATAATTATGTTTCATTCACTTCCAAGTATTTTTTCCTATTTTTCATTGCTGTAGCTGAGAGAGATGGACGGGGGCGGGGAATGACCCAGAAGTATGGTGGGTGACTGGGACAATGTACACGTGTAATCGACACAGATAATTGAAAATTAATAGCATCATATTCCTCAGCCTAAGGAGAAGGCACGGAGAGCTTTTATTTACTGATAATTGCATTAGGTACTTTGCCACTTTTTCCGATTTAATCCTCTTGACAATGTATGAGATGGAACAGAACTTCAGCTCCCTGTGGTTAGGGTTGTTGCCAGAGAAAATAGTTTTTCGGTGTAGGTATGTCTCAAACATTGCATGGGCATATTAACACTATAAAAAGTATTCATTATTCATTTGAAATTCAGAGGTAACAGCATTCTGTCTGTTTGTTTTTTGCTGAATCTGGCAGCTCTTCCCTGTTTCTGTTATCCCTCACGCTTAGAATGAATTACTTTTCTTCAAAAAACTCATTGCAAAAAACCCACAAAAAACCACACATTGCAACACATCACACTCCTTCAGCGAATTGCCTCGCTAATAGAGGCCTATCTCCGAGATACTGCAGGTGCAGTGCCAGCCAGCACAGTAAAGCGTATATCACAATCCGCTAAGTCAGATGAATTTTATGGTTTCCTGGTGCATATAAAAGTTACACGTACACGATACTGTAGTCTATTCAGTGTGCGCCAGCTTCATGGCTGAAAAACACAATGTACATGCCTTAACTAAAAAAATACTTCAGAGGGCTCCTGGGGGGCTCAGTTGTCAAGCATCCAACTCTTTCAGTTCCGGTCATGATCTCACAGTTCATGAGTTCCAGTCCCACGTGGGGCTGACAGGCAGAGCCTGCTTGGGATTCTCTGTCTCCCTTTCTCTGCCCCTCCCCGGCTCATGCACTCTTGCTTGCTTGCTCTTTCTCTCGAAAATAAATCAGCTTTTTTTTTTTTTTTTTTTTTTTTTTTAATACAGTAAGGGCACCTGGGTGGCTCAGTTGGTTAAGTGTCCGAATTGTGATATTGGCTCAGGTCATGATCCCGGGGTCATGGGATCAAGCCCTGCATTGGGCTCTTCACTGAGTGTGGAGCCCGCTTGAGATTCTCTCTCTTCCTTCTGCTCCTCTCCACCCCGCTAAAATAAATTTTAAGAAAAAAAGTTCTTTAGGGGTGCCTGGGTGGCTCAGTCGGTTGGGTGTCCGACTTCGGTTCAGGTCATGATCTCACGGTTTGTGAGTTCAAGCCCCGCGTCGGGCTCTGTGCTGACAGCTCGGAGCCTGGAGCCTGCTTCGGATTCTGTGTCTCCCCCTCTCTCTGCCCCTCCCCTGCTCATGCTCTGTCTCCCTCTATCTCTCAATAATGAATAAACGTTTAAAAAAATTATCACAAAAAGAAAAAAAAGTACTTTATGGCTTAGAAATGCTAACCATCCTCTGAGCTTTTTGCTGGTGGAGGGTGTTGCCTTGATGTTGATGACTGATCAGGGTGGTGGTTGCTAAAGAATGGGGTGGTTATGGCAGTTTCTTTCTTCCTTCCTTCCTTCCTTCCTTCCTTCCTTCCTTCCTTCCTTCCTTTCTTTCTTTCTTGTTGTAGGCCCAATGTGGGGCTTGAACTTAAGAATCCTAGATCAAGAGGGCGCCTGGGTGGCGCAGTCGGTTAAGCGTCCGACTTCAGCCAGGTCACGATCTCGCGGTCCGTGAGTTCGAGCCCCGCGTCGGGCTCTGGGCTGATGGCTCAGAGCCTGGAGCCTGTTTCCGATTCTGTGTCTCCCTCTCTCTCTGCCCCTCGCCCGTTCATGCTCTGTCTCTCTCTGTCCCCAAAATAAATAAACGTTGAAAAAAAAAAATTAAAAAAAAAAAAAAAAAAGAATCCTAGATCAAGAGTTACATGCTCAGGGCGCCTGGTGGCTCAGTTGGTTAAGCGTCTGACTCTTGACTTCAGCTTAGCTCATATCTCAGTGTTTGTGAGATCAAGCCCCACATCAAGCCCTGTGCTGAGAGCATGGAGCCTGCTTGGGATTCTCGCCCTCTCCGACTCTCTCTGCCCCTCCCCTTCTAGATCTCTCTCTCTCTCTCTCTCTCTCTTTCTCTCTCTAAAAATAAATAAACTTGGGGGAAAAAAGAGTTGCATACTCTACCAACTGTGCCAGATGGGCACCCATGGAATTTTCTTAAAATAAGAAAACAGTGAAGTTGGCCCCATTGATTGACTCCTTTCACAAATGATTGCTCTGTAGCATGCGATGCCGTTTGATAACATTTCACCCACAGTACAACTTCTTGCAAAATTGGAAGCAGTCCTCTCACACCCTGCTGCTGCTCTATCAGCTAAGATATATGTAATGTTCGAAATCGGTTGGGGTCCTTTCGACAGGCTTCACAGCGTCTTCAACAGGAGTAGATGCCATCTCGAGAAACCACTTGCTTTGCTCATCCTCGAGAGGCGATTCCTCATCTGTTCAAGGTTTATCTTGAGATTCCAGCAATTCGGTCACAGCTTCAGGCTCCACTTCTGATTGTAGTTCTCTTGCTGTTTCTACCACACCTGCAGGTCCTTCTCCACCGAGGGCTTGAACTTCTCAAAGTCATCAAAGAGATTTGGAATCACCATCTTCCAAACTCCTGTTCACGTTGATACTTCAACCCTTTCCCATGAATCACAGATGTTCTTAATGGCATCTGAAATGGTAAATCCCTTCCAGAAGGTTTTCAATTTACTTTGCCAAGATCCATCAGAGGAATCACTGTCTCCGCTAGCTAAAGCTTCACAAAATGTATTTCTTTTTTCTTTTTTTCTTTTACTTTTTTTAATGTTTATTCATTTTTGAAAGACAGAGAGAGAGAGAGCACAGGCAGGGGTGGGGTGGAGAGAGAGGGGGACACAGAATCTGAAGCAGGCTCCAGGCTCTGAGCTGCCAGCACAGAGCCTGACGCGGGGCTCGAACCCAAAAACCATGAGATCATGACCTGAGCCGAAGTCGGACGCTTAACCGACTGAGCCACCCAGGTGCCCCACAAAATGTATTTTTTTTTAAATTTTTTTTTAACGTTTTTATTTATTTTTGAGACAGAGAGAGACAGAGCATGAACGGGGGAGGGACAGAGAGAGAGGGAGACACAGAATCAGAAGCAGGCTCCAGGCTCTGAGCCATCAGCCCAGAGCCCGACGCGAGGCTCGAACTCATGGACCGTGAGATCGTGACCTGAGCTGAAGTCGGACGCTC